TGTCTTCCAGATAAATTTATCTTATTAGAATTAAAGAAGTAGACCATTTTATAAGAAATTAAACGAATAGGCCAGTATTTTAAAATTAAAGAAATAGACTAAATTTTATAAGAAATTAAAAAATTAGGGCATAGAAGATTAAAAGTGAATTTCTTTGAATCAAGAAGTGCATTTATCTTCATCCACATATTATAACATATATATGCAGGACTAGATACAAATATCCKAACACAAGCGAACTAAAATTTTCAAAAATGAAAAGAATTGATTCAGATTCTACATATCAAAGAAATTGAATCATAAAGCATTACGAGAAATCAACCAAGGGCTTTAGGACAAAAACTATTTCAAACTTAAAACAAACATGTAAACCGATTGTGTGAAGCATTTGACATCAATAGAGTGTGAAACTGTTGTCTTTTTTTTTTTTGTTTGTGAAATTGTTGTCTTAATCTTCATGTTTTCTAGGGTAAATATACAGTGCATTTGACTTGTTTAGACTAATTTGATTCTTTGACATTGACGCTGAAATACGAAGATTTTCTTTGACTACTAATTTTGCTATCTCAATGTCCGTTCAAAGTCATTGAACCCAGAGTGCCTAAGAACAGAACTAAAGTCTTGTTCACAACTATCTTCACACATAAAGAATTTACATTTTCATCAAGTAACATACTCCAAATTTCCAGTTTTTCAAAAATGGTTATCCTTTCAACCAAACTTTGTTGAGGCACAAACAAATTACTTATAGCTACAAACAATTTGTTCAAGGAAACTAAGGGACTCCATTACAAATGTACCCCAAAAGCTTCGGAGTCAAGAGAGGACCTCCTCACCACTTAATCAAGCATCGAATTAAACTAAAAGTCTCTGAAAACAGAGGAATATCAAACAGCATCATATAACAAAAAGTAACCATATGTAACAAGCCGAATATGAGATCCACATAATCAGGTATGCACCTTCACAAAATTACTTGTAATGTCTATCACTGGTAATAGCCTCAACTAGTAATAGACAAGCACATTAATAGACCCAATTAAACCGTTGATTCTACATGCATTTCCGGTAATTATGTCATGACAAATCGTCTAGGAATGGAATGATACCGAATTCCAAATTTTAGCTTCCCTTTTTTTTTTTTTTGGTCGTAGCTTATTTTATTAATTATAAAAAATATGGCCTATTTTTAAAATTTTAATTATTTTTTGAGTGATTTTCATAATTTTTCCTATTTAATTTAGCAATGCACATTACTTTTTATATTTTTTATCTCCGTCGGTTCAAAACGATAAAAATAGAACTCGCAGAAAAATTGACTCACGACACGCTATAGTGGATATTGGCGAGGTTGCGCTTCACCATCCAAATTCCATACTACCATTTCTTTCTTCCACATGATTGATCTCTTTAATAATGTTACTGTTACTTCTTCAACATGAATGATTTTTTCTACAGTATCCAC